GGGTGTGTGCCGCTCCATGAGAATCCTCGCAGAGCGCACAACAGCGGGTGTGTGAGTGCCCTGCAACGCGCGCACAGCTCTGAACAGCACATACTGACAGGGTAGCCCGCCGTGCTCGAGCTAGTTGATGCCGCAGATGTCGGTCACAACGCTCAGTATGCTGCCCTATGCTGCAGAATGAGCAGCAGTGACGGTGTCGTCCCTTGAAGAAGGTACGCGAGCAGCCAGGCGTGATGCACGCATAAGCGGGGTGCTCCGAGCTATCGGTCCGCGCCGCACGCCGCCTGCGCCCTCCACTCCGGCTCACCATCGGAAGGCCCGGGCCGCGGTCGCCCCCTGGGGCCTGGGCGCCAGAGGACAAAGCCATAGCCTGATGATAGCAGGAAGAACGTGGTGCAATAAGAGTGGCACCGAGGGCGCACGTATGTGAGCCCTCACGGCTGCGGGGAGGGTGGCGGCCGGTGGCAGGGACAGATTCCCCCCCATGCTGCCGAGCATGGCATTGGCAATGCACCTGCGACGAGGAGACTCCAGGACCAGTGGGCAGGGCAGGCCTCACGCCACAGCCCTGTCCATCGGAAGCTTGGTCCCGGGAGCACCTCGTGGAGTCAACGGCCCCAGCAACGGTTTACATTGCCATGACACGACAGCAGGGCCCGTGTGAGCACGGGGGCCAAGGCGCCGCCAGTGCGGCCCTGGGCAGGTGCAGGAGGCGGGCGGACTGCAAAATACACGGGACCTACAGCCGTGTGTAAGTGCGGCAGTGAATGAAGAGTCACGATTGGCATCCCGCAGCTGGCGGAGTCATCATTCATCCAGGAGCCCGTTCCATCCTTGAAAAGCCCGCCACGGTCACGAGCCTGGGCGGCGGGTGGAGGGATGGAACCCTTGCGCAGATTCGTCAACTCTCTGTGCCAGGTGATGCAAGCGGGCTGCACAAGAGCTGCAGCCTAAGTTCGCCGCCCAGCGATGGTAGCACCGGCGTAACCCAAAGCCGGTTACGGTAAGTCCTCTCCAGAAGGAGTTCCGGGTGCGGTGCCCGTAGCGGGTCCGAAACCTCTGCATGCGAACAGGAAACTGGCTTGGGAGGCGCAACCGGCATGGTCGGATGTGTCACTGGGGCGCGGGCCGCTGTCGAGCCACCACGCAGGCTTGCCGCGAGGGGCGGGAAGTCATCGTTTGGCTCCTGCTCAATAACGGGCCCAATGGGCGCAGTCATGCCAACCGCTGAGACGCACAGGGCAACGACGTATGTCGCTAGCCAGCTGAATACGGCCACCGCCATCTAATAGTAGGCGGACTTCCAAAGAGCCAAATTTGCGCATGCCCGCAAGGCTCGCCGCGGCAGAGGGACCATGATGTGCACCTGCGAGCCTCCCCCCGTCCCCAAAAGCACACTGCCGGCGGAACTCGCAGATGCCATGTCCGCAGCGGCATCGCAACTTCGCTTGCCCGCCGCACACTGTTGGACAGGCTAAGACGATTCCAGACAAACGCGGCGCTAAGGCGTGGGCGCTATGCATGCAACCTGAGCATGGTAAGAAGCCCGCACGTGGGGTGCACTAAGAGCAAAAAGATCAACACAGCACCAACACTTTTTTTTGCTTGACTGGGCCTCGTCGACTACGGCTGTAGCACTCGGTCCCTACAAACAAGCGAAACTACAAACTAAGCAAAAACACAACAAAGCGGTGAAACAGCAAAGCGAAGCTCTACAAAGGGCTGCGGCGCACAGGCTTTGCCGGTGTTAGCCGTTCAGCACAAACTACGGAGCCTCAGCGACCGGTCCGGAGCAACAAAGAGCCGTCGCTCTGAGCTGCCCAAAACAACAGGTGGAACCAAGACCCACGGAGCGGAGCGCAGTAATGTTTATCCTGGTCTAGCGAAGCCAAAGGCGAAGCGAACTTGCAGCTTTTCGTTGTCATGTTTCCAAGACATTTTGGCTTTTTATTTTTCCATGTCTCACATGCAATGTTTTCCTCAGTGCGATTTTGAATCATGTCACGCCGGTGGTGATGCTCAAGCTGTGTTCGCTTAGCAAGGAAAATTTTTGAGACCTCCGCTAGGGGCTTGTAACGGCGTCCTAGCAGGTTCCAGGCCCTTTATCTCAAGGCTTTAGGGCGTCACGACCCCCCGCCCTGGTGCGGGGTGTCAGATGGACTTCGGCGACGCGCTCGCCGCAGGTTCGTCTCATCGTTCCGAGCAAAGCTCTGAGAGCACTCAGGAGATTTTGAGTCAGCATATCTACGAGCTCCAGCTGGAGGTCAACGAACTAAGGCTTCAGGTGCAAGCTCTCACAACCCAGGTGCAAGCACTAGAAGAGAGCCTCTCTCGCGTCTGGGTGAACCAGACGGGCCATCATCAGCGCCTGTCGTGGCTTGAGGGAATCATTCAGAGCCTGCGCTCTGCCTTCAGGTCGTTTCTCGAGCCGCCCTTGCACGAGTCTTAAGCTTCTTTTCCGGGGGATGAGTGCTGAAGCTTTTTATCCGGATGAGGGAGCCGATGAGGGGGCCGTCTCGCAGCCTGTTGAATCAGGTCAGCAGGTCCCTCTGTCTGAGGGGGCCGTCTCGCAGTCTGTTGAATCAGGTCCGCAGGTCCCTCTGTCTGCCATACCTGCCAGCCCAATATCTCCGAGTGCGGCTGTGTTCGAGGGCACACCTGATCAGGGTCCCTTAGCGGCCTTCATGAGCAGCCCCGTCGAGGGCGATGATCTTACTGAGGAACAGCTGGGGGGCTTGATGTCTCGCGAGGACACACAACTTCCCCCTGACGACGACCCGATTGCAGACCGTTTGGAACAGCAGCTTGCAGGCTTCATGGCCTACGGCGGCAGTGCAGGTGATTGGCATGCCATGAACTCAGGTTTCATTCTTGCAAGGCATTCCCGTCAGGCGATGCCGTGGGAAAGAGTGACGAGGCCCCGCTTGGGGCCCGGCTTCATGTTCCAGGAGCCGTTGCTAGGTCGCTTCGACGGCCTTAGGAGGGCGGCGATCCCCGCCCCTGCAGCAGGGCCGTGGGCATGGGTGCCCAAAGGAACTTACGAGGCCAGGCGACTTCTCGCAGCCAGGTTCGCCAAAAGCGATGACATGCTTAGGCTTACAGCACTGAAGAAAATTCGGCTCATCGTGCTTTTCTTCCCGGATGATTCGGAGCTTGGAAGGAACCTCGTGGGTTCTGCAGGCTCCCTGGTGGAGGAATCCATGCTGACCTCGACCATCGAGGACACTTTTTCAGGCAGAGCCGCCAGCACCCTCCTGAAGCGTGCTTCGGATTTCTCGAGGTTTGCCAAGTGGATCGTAGCTAGCAAAGGGCGCCCTCTGGCGCCTTCCGAGGGCGAGTTGTACGCTTATATGCTTCACTTGCGACGAGAGAAAGCAGGAGCCACTGCCGGCGAGTCTTTTCTCAAGGCCTACAAGTTCTTTGTGCACTTGACAGGGGCTGCGCAAGGCTCCAGGATTTCCCCGCGTGTGCAGGGAGCAGCCAAGGCGATGTCCATGGCCAAACGGCCGCTCTGGCAAGCACCGCCCCTACCGGCGGAGGCAGTGCGGCTCTTGGAAGAACTCGTCCACGACTCCGAGGATTATGCCAGGGCTAGCATAGCAGGGTTCATTCTTTTCTGCCTTTACTCCTCGGCCCGATGGTCGGATGCGGCTCGAGGGACTGACTTGAGCATTGACGTGGCAGGTAACGGGCTTGTCCTTCTTGAGTGTTCGACAAAACATTACAAGACGAAGGCCAAGGACCGAAAGGATACCGTGCTGCCTTTGATTGCACTGGGCAGTGGCTTAACTCAGCCCTCATGGGGACGTGTCTGGATGCGCAAGAGGGCCCTGGCAGGGCTACCAGACTGTGCCGTAATCATGCCGGCCATGTCGCCGGGAGGGAACTTTCTAGGAAGGGCCATGACGGCTGCGGAGGGTTCCTTGTGGCTTCGTGAGTTTTTGCACTTGCAGGGTTTCGCGGGGGATCTTGAACAGTACAGCTCGCACAGCCTGAAAGCAACCGCCTTGTCCTGGACGGCCAAGAGCGGGACCATGACCTACGAGGAGCGCCTTACCCAGGGGCATCATTGCAGTCCAAAGCACGGCATGGCTCTCCTGTACTCGAGAGATGCGCTTGCAGAAATCATAGTGAAGGTAGCCAAGGTCGTGAGTGCTGTGAGCCGGGGAGTGTTTAGTCCCGACCTCCCGCGAGCCGAGAGGGTCGCAAGAGCTCTGCATGGCGATCCAGCAGATTTTGCACATCTTCCTGAGACGACGGCTGAGGATTTGCCGGCCGAAGAGCCGCAAGATGAGAACAACTCCGAGGCTGGGTCCGACATAACAAACCTCGGCGGCCTCGAAGTGGACCTGGGAGCACCGGCCCCGGAGGAGGTCCGTCCTCGGCTTAGCAGCACGTTCTCGGGAGAGACCTACATGCACGTCTTGAGTGGAGTGGTGCATAAGTTGGTCAACCCCGGAATTTTTAAGTGCGGCAGGAAGGTCACGGCAAACATGCGTTTGATGGGGCCCGAGGAGGCTCAGGAGAATGTCTGCCAGCAGTGCGCAGCTTGAAGAAAAGAGGATGTGCTCAGTTGATCGTTTGCTGATTTGCGACGTCGTGCCTATGCCATTTGAGATGAGGGTGCTCGGGCCGATTGAGATCAGTTAGAGTGTTTCTTGCTTCGAAGCACAAAACCGGACTGGGAAGTGTCCGCAGTCTTTTGGCTGGGAGTTGCCAAACTGGGGCGAATCTCCCGCGCGGCCTGGTGAGCACCCAAGCTTGAACTTAGCGGGAGTTTGATTGGGGGCTTTGAGATTGCAAGAACCCCCGTGGTCGGCTGCCTTTGCCGGCCTGAGTCATGAAAAATACTATTGGAACGCGACCGGCTGGGATCGCCGGTTCACGAAGGCCGCCTGTGATCGGTGGCGAAGAAGTGTGAATCCGAGACAAACTCGACCCACGGTTGACTTCGCCGTGGGTGAGACCTCGAAACCTGTATCCTCACCTGCCCAGGTCTCATGGCCGGACTTGAATCGGTGCCTGCCTTCACCGACCGAGCAAAGCAGATCGGCATCAGCGAGGACCTTCTGAAGAAGCTCCTTGCTAAGAGCTTGGACACCTTCGGCAAGCTAGCTTTCGTGTGCTCGAGCAAACCTTCCAGCGGGGATGACGCTCCTCTCTTCGAAGCCCTGAAGACTCTGATCGGGAGTGAGGTTCCAGTGGAACAACATATGGTGATCAGGAGATTGTGGTACGAGAGCCACGCCCACGCCCTGGTTGACTTGGAATCGAGGGCTTCGAGAACAAGTGATACAAGCCCCCGCGAGCTTCCGTTAGCTGAACGCCTAACACGCTTGAAACGCCAAAGGGGCGAGCTTAAAGGCCTCGAGATGGATATCCACACAGAACCTGGACACGGCCTTGTGGACCGCGTCCAGGCCATGCTCGATTCTGCACAAGTGCTGCACATCGCGCCGGAGAAGTGCATTTCCCGTCATGACGAAATCCTGGGTGAGAAGACGGAACAAAAGATCTCTTTGGGAGCCGACGGGAACATCAAGGTCACGAAGCAAGCCTCGAGCCTCCGTTGCGAGACTACCGGCGAGCTCAAGCTTCGCCGGTGCTTCCTGCGCCGGGCCTTAGCGTTCGATCAAGTAGGGCTCGCCTCCTTCACTGCACTGGAGTCTTGGCACAACCGCATGTTCCAGGCTCTGCTTGATGTGCCTCCGGCAGGTTATCGCTACACTACCGTTCAGCAGCTGCTTGCAGCTGACCAGAAGCTTTGGCAGGTGGTGGCCCAGGAGAGCCGAGGTGACATCGTCGTCGGGGTCGGAGCCCCGGCTCCTCTTGACAAGCACATAGCCGCTGCTGCAACCAATCAGTTTGTCGTGTCATGCTTGACTCACCTGCCCAAGCCCTTGGAAGCTCCCGCTCCCACATGGCTGCCAAACAAGCCCGGTAAAGGACTCGGCAAGAAGGGGGATAAGGGAAACAAGGGCGGAGGCAAAGGCAAGGGCAAGCAAAACCATAGCCAATCCGGTGCGGAAGCCGCCCCGACAACCTCCTTGAAGGAGCTGCTCGAATCTCTGCCAGAGGGCTGTGTGCGAGCCACTGATGAAGGTCGCTTCATCTGCCCTTTCTACAATAAGGGCATCTGCCGATTCCAGAAGCGCAAGTCGTGCCGGTTCGGGAAGCATGTGTGCAATTTCAAAGGCTGTGGGGCTGAGAGGCCGTACATCGAGTGCAAACATTGACTATCCGCAGGCGAGGCAGCCAATGACAGTTCTCCAAATTTGTGTTCGGGGGCTTCAAGTGAGCCCGAAGTCTTTGCCAAACAACTTTTGCAGCAGAGTGAGCCCATATCAGCCTCGCAGGTGACCGCTTTGTTTGATGCGTTGCCACACGACCAGTGCGATCGGAGTGCTTCGGGTTTTTCCTTCTCTGCAGGACTCTACTCACGAGTCCAAGTGGGCCTCCGCAAGGCCTGCAAGCTGTTTCCACTTTCTGTGCAGGCGGTGAATAAGTTTGTAGCTCATTTGCTTGACGGCGCAGTTTACACGAGTTTTGCCATATTTTCCAGAGTACAGACCCGGGAGCACCGGGACAAGCAGAATTCCTTTTTGCCAAACATAGTGATTCCTTTGACTGCATTCACTGGGGGGGCCATCAAGGTCTTGGAACCCAACCGCGAGATCGACCTTGAGGTTTCGAAAGGACCGGTGCAATTTTGTGCTAGGCAGCACCCGCACTCAACTTGTCAAGCGCACGGGCGACGAACCGTGCTTGTGCTCTTTTCCCTTAAAGCAGCTTCGCATGCTTCTGCCGATGATCAGCTTTGCTTGAAACGTTTGGGCTTCCCTCTGCCCAATCCGCGACAGCTCAGCTCCGTCGAAGTCTGCAAGTCCGAGCCTATTTCCTTGGGTGAAGCGAAGCAGCGCCTCTTGCCGTTTCCAGACAAACCTCAAACCGGCAGTGACCCGGGTGCCCTGGGAAAGCCGACTCACGAAAGTCGTCCGCCGTCCATGGTAGAGTGCTTGGCCTGTCGTGGTCCCTTAGCAGCAGAGGCCCTCCTCACCGGATGGGACGCGATTCCGGTAGGTAAAGGCCCTCACGATCCCCACGGCTCGCCTATGTTGCATTTGGATCTCTCTGAGGAGGAAAACGTGCAGGCACTTCTCCGATTTGATTCGTCGGCAGCTGTTGATTGGTGGCACGGGCACCTCTTCCTCAAATCCTGTGCTCGGTTGGATCGGGGATCTTCCAAACAACCTTTGCGGAGAGCTGACTGCATTTTCGGTTGCCCTAAACTTGCCCCTCGAGCCCAGGACCTGGTGCACCGTGACAACAAGGTTTGCAGGGCCCTTGTTTCAGCCTTGCAACGAGCTCATCAAACCGGAGCCCTCGTCTCACTCATCGGGCCTGCCAGGAGCTGGGTTTGGAGCCTCCTAGCGAGCACTGTGAAATCCACCCAATCGAAAGACTTCATTGACTGGTTCTTCACCCTGGAAGACCAGGAGCTTGACACTTGCATGTTCGGTTCGCCTTTTCTTACCTCACTCAAGGTCAAAGCCACGCCCGGAGCTTTCCCGCAGATCTCTGCTACGTGTGACAAATCACATAAGCATCAAGCTTGGCTGCCTTCGCCGGCCGGTGGCACCTTCAACGATGCTTCCCTGCCCCATGGTTTGTGCCAACGCCTGTGCGAGTGTGCCACCAAGCTCGTCACCGGATCAACTAAGCACCGTGCAGCAGGCCGCTGCCGTCAGCTCCGGGCTGCCGTCAGGGCCGCCGCGGCCAATCAGTCTCATTTCACGCCACCCCTAATTCCTGAGTTTCGGGTGGTAACCCCTTTGTCCCAAGTGCCTTCGAATGCTGATTTCAAGATCTTGGACAAAGTCGGCTCGACACCGGGGGAATTGGATGAGCCGGATAAGCGGTTTAGGCTTAATGGTTCTCCCCCTAAGTCCTCGGCTCCCCGAGTAGGTGCAGTGGCTGGTGTTTACCACACCATGGAAGAGCACCTTCGTCTTGCCTCAAATTTGTGCAGTCCAGCTGATACAAGCGAGAGGCTGCCAGATCAGATCAGGCGGAACATTTTCGCCATGCTGACCGAAGGACCCGTGGCGATCTCAAAGAAAAGGCTTCTCGCTCTTCAGCAGCTGAACCGAAGAGTGCAGGAGCTTGCAGATGAAGAAAGAACGCTTCGCGAGAGCATGCACCCCGATGTAGAATCCGTGACCAGGGCGAAAGCGATCTCCTTGTTCAGGGAACTGCTTGAGGAAACCGCCTTTGCAGACATGTCCGTAATCGATTTGCTTGTGAAAGGCGTGCCACTTGTGGGCCAAGAGCAAGACTCGGCCCTCTTTGCCAAACGGCCGAAGCCGCAGGAGATCAGCCCGGACCAACTGCGGGCCCAGTCAGCTCTCAGGAGGGACGTTCTACAGCGCACGCGAAAACTCGTCTCTCAGGAGGACTACGCCGCCATGCGGGCGGAGACGGACGAAGAGGTCAAAGCTGGTTTCCTGAGTGGACCGTACTCTTCCGAGTCCGAGGTCAGTAAAGTGCTGGGGGCCACAAACTGGTCTCTTTCGCCCCGCTTCCTCCTGAGGCAGGGAGAGGACGCAAAGATTAGGATAATAGATGACTTCAAAATGTCAGCTGTTAAACGTGCCTTCGGATCTTCATCGTTCCTCGCGTTGCAGGACACGGACTTCGCAGTGGGTTTGCTTAGATTCCTTTCGAGGGTTCTTCAGGATCGCTCCCGAGTAAGGGTGCCTCTGCTTGATGGCTCGGTCTTGGAAGGCAACTGGGCGCCTGAGATGCTGTCGGCCCCTCCCCTGTTGGGCAAGACGCTGGATTTGAGCAAGGTCTATCGCCAACTGGCAATCCACCCTGATTGCAAGGAGTTCTCAGTGCTGGGTTTCCCTACGCCCGCTGGTGGCTGGGAGTACTACATCACGAGGAGCCTCCCGTTTGGGGCCGGCGCGAGCGTCTTCGGGTTTAATAAGGTTGCCCTAGGGGTTCTGCACATCATGACAGTGAAGTTCATGGCAATCGCCACGGACTTTTACGATGATTACACCATCTACGAGTTTAAGCCTGCTGCTTCCTTGCTGGATAAAGCCCTCATGCGGCTGCTGGACATCCTGGGCTGGACCTTCGCGCGCTCCGGGCGCAAGTTTGTGCCTTTTGCCGAAAAGGTAACTTCCTTAGGTGTAACCTTGGGGCTTGAGGAAATTTGGCAAGGAACCTTGACTGTGGAGAACAAGGCGGGCAGACTCGAGCGCATCGTTCAGCAGCTGAAGCGGATTTCGCAAGGAGACGAGATCACCCGATCAGATGTGGCTTCCCTACACGGCCTGCTCAACTTTGCCGGGGGTTTGATCTTAGGGTTCGAGCTTAAGGCCACCTCGCGTATGCTGTCGCGAGCCCTGACAGGCCCATTCCGAGGCAACACAACAGAGTTGCAGCATGCTTGTGCGTTGGCCTTGGACGTGTTGTCGCAATGTCGCCCCAAGCGGTGCCCTGCATCGGTGAAGCCACCAATCATCCTGTACACCGATGGAGCATACGAGAAAGGCGTTGGGACTTGGGGCGCCGTCATTGTAGATGGGGTCACCGGAGCTCGGTGGACCTTTGGCGGGACCGTCTGCCAGCAGCTCAAAGACCTCTGGGAGCGGCAGGCCGGAAATCAGATCATTTGCCAAGTTGAGGGTTACGCTCTTGCAATTTTGATCTTCGGTCTTAGGGGTTTCTTGAAAGGCAGGTCGGTCATAGCCTTCATCGACAACGAAGCATGCAGATATGGCTTCATCAAGCGGTACTCGCCATCCTTGAGCCTTCTTCGCTTAATCTCGTTGGTGGCTTTGTTGGAGGGGTCTCTCGAGGCCCTACTTTGGTTCGAGCGAGT